GGGGTCCTGCCCCAGGGCACACAGGTGTTTGCGCCACCTGCAGGTACCGCACAGGGTTTCTGGGCTTTAGAAGGAGGCGCCTGGCCCCACCTGCCTGGGCCAAGCGGTCGACTCCCCGAGCCCGTGGGGTGAGCGGCTGGGGGGTAGGACCTCTGGGCGCGCAGCACTGGCGGCTTCCAGCCTGCAGGGGCCACGCGGGAGCTGGGGGCCGCCCCTGAGCGCCCCTCCCGGCCCCCCACCTCCACCCCGGCCCTGCAGCCCGCTCGGGCCGCCCCTGAGCGCCCCCCGCCCCCAGGCAGGCACGGGGCGCAGAGCTGGCGTTACACAGCAAAACCAGCGAGAACAAAACCCAGCAGCGCGGCGGGAGGCTGCGGAGGAAACCCGGAGCGTACCTGAATTCTTCAATTGCAAACATGACCTCGTCGGAGGCAGTTTCCTTAGATGGTCTGGCAGCCCCTTGGTTCCCAGGCCAACCATTTAGTCAGTCAGCTGGTGCAAAGTGCAGGAAAAAAGAGGCGGGGTTTGCACCCCCCAATATTCTGAAGTAACCGGCTTCTGCAGACGGGGGCTGCAGCCTCCAGCTCCGCCAGCTGCTGACAGGCACAGCTAACAGGGAGGCAGCTAGAGGACCATGTGACCTCCAGCGCGGCTGATGAATGCAGCGGCTGCCTAGGCTCTGGGGCCGGCCCGGGGTTAGTCCAGAGAGACCAGGCGCCCCCGGGCGCCCCGGGCCCTGGGGAGACCTGTCCACCCGCCCCAGCCCACCGCAATTCTGCAGGGTGAGGCGGGGCGGGCCTGGGGGAAGGAGGAGGACGCCGTCCCCCGGCCAGCTGCCCCGTGACCTCCTCGTCCTGGGGCGCTCTGTCCCAAAGGCCCGTGGCAGCGAGCAGGGCAGGGCATCCACAGAAGCCACCGGAATCCTCGCCCATGGCGCCACTGCCTGGCCACGCAAGTCATGCTGCGTGCCCTTGCCGCGACCTTGTAGTCGGCGGTGACGAGTGAGTGCGTCGCCGTCAGACGACTTACACTTAGCCCGTGTCTAGGACGCACCAGGCTCTTATCAGCTCTCTGAAGTAGATAAACTGCTGTTCGTGATCTCAGAGCGGAAGTTAAGGAAAGGACACCAGGCCCTCCCTGGTGGCCCAGCGGGGTAGAGCGCAGCAATAAGGAGCTTAAGCCACGGCCGGGAGTTCGATCCCGGCCCAGGAGGTGACCCACAGGGCGCGGCAGACCTCTCCTGACCCGCCCGCTGCTCTGCTCAGCAGGGGACTTCATCCATCTGCCTGTTCTGCTCCCTGCTCTGTCTGGTGAAATCTTCTCATTGCCCCTGCACCCCTGGCCTGTACCCCAGTTCTGTATGCATAAATAAGTATATCTTTAAAAAAAAAAAAAGAAACAGAAAAGGAAACACGACGTCAGCTAAAGAAAGGGGCTTGTTTACCCGCCTGCGAAGCTCAAGCTGGCGAGGCGGGCCACAGCTGCTCGAGTCCTCGGTGCCCACTTTAAGCAAAAACACATCGGCCCAGGCGCAAAATCTTATCTTTCCAATTTCTTCTATTAAAAGTCTTCACCAACTAAAAAAACCCAGCCAGACATTCTCAGTTCCCCAAGCACGCCGGGGCCGCCTGTCTTTGGTCCGTGGCCAAGGGCCCCGGCCACTGCCAGCTCCCGCCGTGCCCCGCGCCAGCCTGGCTGCCCCCGGCCCCAGCAGCCGAAGCCGCTCCCCGGGCAGGAGCCGCTGGCCTACGACCTCTGCCCGCGTGCGGCACGGGGCAGGCTGCGGGTGGCCTGGCCTCTGCCCCAGGCCCGGCCCAGGCTCGACGGACAGAAGCCAGACAGGAGGCTTGCTGAACGGGCCTGTCTGCCTCGGCTTCCGGCCAGGGAGCAGCGTGACCAGCTGCAGGCCACGCGGGGGGCCTGGGCGAGCGTGTCTCTCCACAGGGCACCTCTACTGGTGCCATGCGGGGTGCCTGGGCGAGCGTCCCCTCTACCTGTGCCCACACCGCGTGCCCGGAGAAAACGCCCCCACTGTGGTGGCAGCACGAGTGTGGCCCGACTCAAGGTGAGGGGCAGGGGCCGAGCCAGGCTGGCCGTGGGGCCGCCCCTCATCCTGGCCGGTCAGCGCCTGTGCTGCACGGGTGGGCCTCTGGGGACACGCGGCCACCCACGAGCCGGTCTGAGGCCCAGGGCTGCGACCAACTCCCGGCCGTGCCCTCTAGGGTGAGGACCCATGCAGGCGGGGCTGGGGAGGAGGGGGCTCTCCCTCTAGCTCAGTGAGGCCCAGAAGCCCTCTCCGTGGTCCCCATGATTTCAGGGGTGCTCTGCTGATGCACTGACGGCGGCACGGCACGTCTTCCCGCAGAGGCGTCTCCTCCCTCACAAGCTCAAATGCTTCAAGAGCTCACTGGTACCGGGCCGGGCAGGGGCAGGTGTTTCTGTCCCGTGATCGTCGGGGGCGACGTGTGCGAGACACAACCTGAGGGCGCATGTCCAAAATCATCGACCCAGACACCCCGCCCCGCTTCCAACAAGCTGGTGGACACTGCTCCAGCATTAGCACAGGCGTTTCTCCCGCACCAGCATCCCGGGCAATCCAGAGAGATGGTAGTGGGGGGCGCTGGCGATCGCAGGTGCTGGTAGAGGGAGTGAGGAGCAGCGGGCGCCCTGCCCGTCCCGGCGTTCAGGGTCAGGCGAGCGGCAGGCGCTCCAGACCGGTGAGAACCCACACCCCAGCCTGGCCCGCGCCAGGCCTGGGGAGCAGCGAGCCGGGCACTGGCCTCTGGGCAGCTGCAGCAGGGCCGGGCCTGGCGAGCGGAGAGCGCCCAGACGGCCTCCTTCCAGCCACTCGGGCCCTCCCGGCCGGGGAGCCCCCAGGGGCTGCCCGAGGTCCTGCAGGCGCAGGGTTGGTAAGGTGGCCGGCACCGGGCCCTTCAGTCACGCTTGCACGTGGTGCCACTGTTCACACTTGCCCGTGGTCATGCTGCTGGTGACGGCGGGGCGGTGACCTGCACCCCATGGGCCCTGGTGCCTCCCCGGTGCCCGGGCACCGATGATCCACCTGCCGCTAGGAGAGGCCTCGTGCTCAGGCAGCAGTGGCCAAGATGGGGGTGGGGCAAAACCCTAAGGGTGCTTTTACCCAGCTGGCCTTGCCCAACCCCAGATTCGGGGCTGAAAGTGGCCCCTGCTACCCTGGGAGGGAGGCGTGGAGTCCCAGGTACCCCAGCCTTGAGGCCAGACCAAAGGCCTCCCTCCGTCAAACACTAGTCGTCATCCCAGAAATACACGTGCCGTCTACGGAACACCATCCTGGAGAAGATGCAAATACAGCTTTGGGAGGAATCTATTCTGGTTTGGGGGCCCCATCCCCAAGGTATCCTACTTAGGGGTTGCGGGGCACCCACTAGCAGGGACCCTAGTTTTAGTCCCTTAAAGCCTTCCCGCGGCACAGCCCGTCCTATGCATGTCCCCGGCCCTGGGTTAACAGCGTCCTGAACTTCCAGAACACTTTCACCCCATGGGACGAACCTTCCCCAAACTTTAAAACAAAGGGAAAAGCCCCTCTTGAGTCAACAGGCAAGTGGGAGACCCCCACTCTGCACTCTTACCTCGATGACATAATTCTACTAACTTCTACAGCGGCAGTTCACTTGAACATAAAAACGCAAAATAAAGCCATCTCTCACCTTCCCTTTCACACTTGTAGTTAAACTCCAGGTCACCCCAAAGCCTCGGACCCTAAGGCGGCCACAATGAGGGCACACTTCCCACCGGAGCTCACACGCCCCGCTGTCTCCGCCCACCTCCCACCCGGCGCGGGCCAATCCCCGCGGGGCCACCGGCCTCGGCCAGCAGGCACCGCGCGCCCACGTCCAGGCTGCGCGAGAGTCTACATGCAGGGTACAGCCCTAGAGGGTGGGCACCGACAACCTCAGGGGCGCAGG